GCAGGGTGGACGCTACGGCAACGCACTGCAGGCAGCTTCAGCTGGAGGCTACGAGGCGGTGGTGAAGATGCTGCTCGACAAGGGCGCCAAGATCAATGCGCAGGGTGGAGAATACAGCAGCGCACTCCAGGCAGCTTCAGCTGGAGGCTACGAGGCGGTGGTGAAGATGCTGCTCGACAAGGGCGCCAACCCGAACGTGCAGGGTGGATATTACGGCAACGCACTGCAGGCAGCTTCAGCTGGAGACTACGAGCAGGTGGTGAAGATGCTGCTTGACAAAGGCGCCAAGGTCAACGCGCAGGGTGGACACTACGGCAGCGCACTCCAGGCGGCTTCAGCTGGAGGCTACGAGGCGGTGGTGAAGATGCTGCTCGACAAGGGCGCCAACCCGAACGCGCAGGGTGGATATTACGGCAACGCACTGCAGGCAGCTTCAGCTGGAGGCTACGAGGCGGTGGTGAAGATGCTGCTCGACAAGGGCGCCAAGGTCAATGCGCAGGGTGGAGAATACAGCAGCGCACTCCAGGCGGCTTCAGCTGGAGGCTACGAGGCGGTGGTGAAGATGCTGCTCGACAAGGGCGCCAACCCGAACGTGCAGGGTGGATATTACGGCAACGCACTGCAGGCAGCTTCAGCTGGAGACTACGAGCAGGTGGTGAAGATGCTGCTTGACAAAGGCGCCAAGGTCAACGCGCAGGGTGGAGATTACGGCAACGCACTGCAGGCAGCTTCAGCTGGAGGCTACGAGGCGGTGGTGAAGATGCTTCTCGACAAGGGCGCCGACGTCAACGCGCAGGGCAGATATGACGGCAACGCACTGCAGGCAGCTTCAGACGGAGGCTACGAGCAGGTGGTGAAGATGCTGCTCGACAAGGGTGCCGACGTCAACGCGCAGGGTGGACGCTACGGCAACGCACTCCAGGCGGCTTCAGCTGGAGGCTACGAGCAGGTGGTGAAGATGCTGCTCAACAAGGGCGCCAAGGTCAATGCGCAGGGTGGAGAATACAGCAGCGCACTCCAGGCGGCTTCAGCTGGAGGCTACGAGGCGGTGGTGAAGATACTAGTGGCATGGGGTGCCGAGTCATCATGAGGGAAATGCATGCATAGCTGTCTGATTGGTGTCATTGAAAGAAGATAGCTACATTCTGAAGCCTATGTCTTCGCGGTAATAGTAGTCTATTAAACACAACGTTGACGGCGATGCTTATACAGCAGTACTAAAAGCAACGTGCGGAAAATTTGCCACTACAAGCTAAGTAGATAGCCAACCTCCAGTCTGTGTGTCCCATGCCATACCCGCTGTGTAAGACCGGCCCACCCTATTCTATAGACGCCTTCTAACTCCTTGTATTCTGTTTTAACAAGCTAAAGCGATATGCTCAAGAGCACGAGGACGCGGTAGGTTAGACGCGGGATCAACGACGGATCTGCGGAGCTGTAAAGCGGCGCGATAGTGTATCTCTATAGCATAGAAGCTTTCGCGCTAGCTATAGTTGTGCATTATGCTGCGTCTTGAAGTGCACGATGGCTGTATCAGATGCTGATTGCGGTTGCGGTCTCGATGCTAGGTGTGCTCGTTGACACGAGCTACACGCCAAGGCCTTCAAACCTAGCTCCTATCCTAAAGCGCTTAGCAAAAGCGCCGTACAGCCGCACAGCCACAGATCTAGTATGTAGCGATAGATTACAGCTAAGCTACTCTAAGCTAGGTGTGCGAGGCCTCTTTATCTAGCACTTCCAGCAGGCGGACTTAGAATTAGCACAACAACACGACAGCCTCTCGAGCTCAAGCGCAGTGCTCGGGATAGGATAATAACATAATAAGGTGTAGGCTGACGGGCTTTTAACAAGATGCACGAGCTTTTAACGCATCTACTACTAGCTAAAGCGAGGCGGTTGCGTAATGCTCTTACTAAATTGTGTGAGGGATCGATCAAGAAAGATTGGATTTGACAAGATACAAGCTATCGAGCTATCTACGTTGTGAGCCCGAACTTATGCTGTGGGCGCCAAGGCGCTAGTCCGATAAGGATCTTATCGATATGGGGGCCATGGGCCGAGCGAGTCTATGGATCCGTAACAATTGTTGTATTGCACAGTAAGCAGAACCTTTCTCTAAAAGACACGAGAGGAGGATAGAATTTATAGCTTAAGGCTACTATTCTGAGAATATCTGTTGTTCTAGCCTTTTGTTGCGTTTGTTGTGTTGGGGAGTGTCTGTAGCGTCCCGCTACGCAGGGTGTCCCGTTACGCAAGGACGGACGTTACTCAATGAGTCTAGAGATCAAGGCTTCTTGACGTTCGATGACGGAATCCTTGCCGTTCAAGACTTCCTTAGCGGAGCTACTGATCGCTGGATCTGGGTTGTGAATGTGGCTGGTCACTGACTGTGCCTTACGCTCTGCCAACATGGCAGCCGAAACGCGCATGATATCGTCATGGCTAATGAGAGCATCGTCGCGTGTGATCATCTCCATATCCATGTCCATGTCGCTGTTGGTCTGGAAGTTGCCCTCCGTGTCTTGTGAGGCGATGCCGAGATTGGTACCGTGGTCACCTGACATGATATCTCACTCGTGAGGTCTATACGACCTTGTTGTTGTGAATTTCTTGACTCCGTCGGTACAAGGTTCTAAGCTTGCTTTGGGTGGACGCGGGGTTCAACAATTGCGAGGCAGTCGCAGCGCTACGCCAAAAGAGGAAACTAAGAGGAAATTGCGGTGGTCGTAGAAGCGAGTCAAGGCGGAAACAGTGCTAGCTAGGCATCTACCTAGGTATGAGTCGAATTATGGCGATTTGTAAAACATTTCAAAAGGAGAAATAGTTGTATCAGTGTAGAAGTACCTCTGGAAGGCTGGATTGTCACAGCGAGGCTTTCGAAGTCCCAAAGATGTTCAAATCAAATGAAGCACTCGATAACGAGATTCTTAAAATAGAATCATGCAAGTCACTTATTGGTATTATTAGACAGCGCGCAACGCATAGCAATATTGCAATGAAAAGGAGTATCTGGCGATGAATAACAATCGCATTTCGTCTGCGAGGTTGGCAGGTGTGACAGAACGGCTCTCGCCGACAAGCATTCATGCTATCATCGCAGATAGAGCGCAAGTTTAGGAAAAAACCCCTCGATTTTAAATGTACGTTGCTACGCGTGACGTCTAGAAGTGGGAAAGCCGTAGCTTCTGTCGAATATCACCAATACCGGCCGGTATGTTATCATGAGTAACCCCGGTCCATACAAAGTTCAGCCTATTTCTTTCACTCGAATTATCGACTGATCTACGACATCTCAAGAAGAGCTTGACGATACGTACGTACGTAACTAGGTAACGTTAACGGGCGATTACTTCCTAGACTAAGCGGTGTTAAGTTCGGGACGTGGATGCGCGCTTTCATTGCTTGACGTGGAGGTCCTGGTCGAAAGAACTGGGAATGAGAAGCTCGTAAAGGTAAGTCATGATACTAGAGATGCCTCAAGGCTTGCTTCGGACTATAACAGATAAGGATCATCGTGAATGCAAAGAGCCAATTCATGGCGTTGGGGGCAACATGTATCGCTGAGATACGCCCTCGGACCAAGGCCAGATGCGGAGCAGAGCGATCACGATATCGATACGCGGATGAAGGCGTATACGGCTACAATAGCTCATGCAATAGGCTCTTGCGCAATTGGTAAACTCGGTGTTAGTCCAAGGTCAGAGAGCGCCGTGGGCTGAGAGTGTGCGATGCGAATAGCAGCAATGTTGAGCTCATGCCGTACCGGAACCATGACGTCTAGGTAGTATCGGTAGGACGTCCGCTTTTTAAGACAGGGAGAAACCAAGACGCCGGTCGCTAGAGCATTCGCTATTCAGCCCTCGTCGACATCACTGCGAGTGAATTGGTGATGGTGATATGAAGTTGTATGTTGAAGCACCTGGATTCTCTCGTTGACGCGAGCGTGTTGGCGATCTGAGTGAAGGCTCTGTGAGGTAAGGACATGACTTCTGTCTCTCTATGATGCCTGGGTAGGGCTAGACTACGATGTCATGAATAAGGATTCTTAACTGTATACGTGTCAGTCATCAAAGCGCTGCAACTGTATGCCGTCTCTTTGCGCGGGCTAGAAGGGACGACGGTGACGGCCACAGCGTGGTACATGATACACTCTCTCAGATGTTTCCTATTCCTTTTGCGCACTTCTCATTGCCACCGCTCGTGCCCAAGTCCCAGCATCGTCACGTCTTCTTCTTCAAGCCCGGCCTTCAGGGCCAAAAAGCTCAAAGAAAAAATAAGTATGCGGATATCTCAGCTGCGACAGTGGATACGAAAGTATCCGGGCAGGATGACAGAGATAAGGCGCGACATACAACAGGTTGTGCAGTGAGCTAAAAGCTCACCTTACCCGCAATCAAGTGCTTGCGGCACAGTCCTCTGGCGTGCGATGAACGAATTCAAATTGCCCACACGGAGTGGCACACGCTCCAGCATGCAATGGACGAATCCACATTGCCCACACGAAGCGGTACACATCTGGTATGCAATGGACAAGTCCACATTGCCCACACGAGGTGGTACATACCGGGGGTTGGCGTGCAATGGACGAATCCACATTGCCCACACGAAGTGGAACACACCGGGGGTTTTGTTTGAGACGTGCGGTGGACGAAATCCACATTGCTCGCTTCCCACTTACGGCACTCGTCAACTTGCGATGGACCCAAAGCTGCTTACGGCACACCAGAGGTGCGATGGACGAATCCACATTGCCCGCAGTCCAGCAATGGCACAAGTCAACGTGCGATGAACCATGTCACATTACCCATAGGTAGTAGGCGGCACACGTTCGCTGCCTTGCGTGCGATGGAGGAATCCACATTGCCCATACGAAGTGGCACACGGTCGGAGAGCTGTCTTCGCATGAAGGGAACCGGCGAGACTTTAATGGAGGAAAGTGGCCGGCTGCCCAGCATTGCGTGGAACGCGCTGCCGGCAACGGGAAACGAGTGAGAAGAAGTCGGAGGAGAAAAGAGAAGTAGATGGATGAGGTGGGTATGCGAGGGCTGGCGGATGGAGGGCTGGTGGATGAGTGGCAAGCGCGGTAAAGGTTGAAGAAGAAAGTAACGGAGAAAGCTGGCTTATAGCTGGAGAAGAGGGAACGCCAGTGCGCTAATTTAGCGTCTTGATGACAAATGTGGGGCTCAGGCAGCAGCGGGCACAGTGCAAAGTGAAGGTAAAGGAGGCGATTTGCGCCCTTCGGTGGCGAGTCTCGCAAGCCTTGTGAATACGTACTAGGGTATCTCCGCAATTGACCGGAAGTAGCCCCAAGGAAACGTTTAGGGAAAACTGACAAGGTCGGTCTCCTTCGTGGTGGACGGCGGCTCCGGGCATATCAGGACGTTTCCCAGATTTCCAAGCACACAAATGATAGAACTTTCCATCCTTGGCCAAACGCAAATATCAGCGTGAATATTACCATCCTGACTGCCTTGGCGGCATACATTTGCTAGTTCTTAGTGGTTGCAGGCGCCCAACAGTATGTTGGCCATGCGAGACGACACCTCGAGCACGCGCATTCATCAAATCATCTACAGTCTTGTCAAAGATTGACATCATAGCGGTGCGTTTGCTCTGTTTAGTTCGCGTCTGTTCACCCGTGCATTCTCAAGATTGCTCACCGTCAGTCTCTGCCAAGAGCCCCCAGACCGCTTCACGTCCACGTTTGCATTCTTCAGTCACCAATCATCTGACTGAATCATGTCTCAAGATAAATCTGAGGCAGTCTCACACGAACATGACTTGCGAGAGACAGACTCCGATCCTGAAAACGTCGTCGCGTCACAGGCTAAAGTGATTGCCGCTCTCACTGCCAGTAATCAAGATCTTATCGTCAACAGCCAGCAGCTCACCATCACCAACCAGCAACTGAAACTCGAGAAGCAGCAACTTAGCCTCGACAAGCTGCAGCTGCAGGAAAAGCTCATCATCAAGGACGAATTACTAGCATTCAAGGACAAACTCCTCACCGCAGACCAATCAGCCATCGCCGCACACAAGAAGGCGGGCGAGCGCAGGCTCGAGCACATCTTGTACCTCGAATCTGAACGGATCAATCCCAATCCGGACGACTTTGAAGCGGCCAGCGAGTACGAAAAACTTTACGAACCTGCCCGTCGTACCCAGATAGAGCAGCACAAACAAGACCTGATTGAAGCCGACCTGGCCACCGCAATGGCGAACTTAGCATTGGCGAACGACGAAACGAAGCTTGCCGTCGTTGAGAAGAAGTGCTGTGAACGCGATATCAAGCCCCTAGACAAGCGGATCGAAAGCCTGTAGGACACAGTGCAGCAGCTCGAGACCTCTGTAACTGAGCTACAGAAGCAGAAGGCGGACCTCAAGATGGACATACAGACGATGAACCAGTACTACACCTTCAACGCTCCAGTTATGTTGACATCGGTTGGTGGTCAGCTCAGTCTTCCAGGCGGCGCAGCTGAAGTTCCGGCTGCTACGTCTCCCTTTGAACGTTTCCCTGTGACAACTTCCGCTCCCCCTTCGCCATCAGCCAGCACGCAGAAGCGCCTCCCTGCAGCTTTGGCTCCGAACACCCCAAAGAAGACGACCGCAGCTACACCGTCATGTTCTCCGGAAAACGGCTCCCCATTGCAAGGTCGTCAATCCCGCGTTCGGTAATTCTCACCTCCTTCATCTTTTGTAGCTTACAGGTGACTAACAATGCGCAGTCACATCCATGGTCAAGAGAGCCCTATACCCGTCGGCATGCCGGAGTAGAGTATGAATTGTCATTTCGGGGATAGATGCAAGCGCAAGGACTGTCTGTTCACTCATAACGCGCAGATCGCTAAGTTTGGGATTGCTGCCATTGCTGAACTGCCCCAGGGTCCGCTCGAGGGTCCGTCTAAGCAGGGAAAATCCGGAGGAAAGAAGTAAGAAGCACGGAGATTAGACGATCATATCAGACTAGTCATACCTAGAAGTTTAGTGGAGCAGTGAATCCGAACGGTTTGAGTCTTTTGTCATGTCCTCATTGATATCGCTATGGTATGATACAGTTTCCATCCCACTGCACATCAACGACCTTTACTTCTTGAGAACGCGGCGTATACGCTATGGCATCTGCAAAAATTCTCCAGCAGAAGTAAATTCCTGGGAGGCTATATCGCTTCCGAGCCTGTTATTGGAAGCCTACTTCTTTGAAGCGGCCTGGGCAAGGTCGGCAAGAGCCTCACGACGCTTGAACTTGGCATCCTGGATCACGCCTGAGGTGTATTAGAAACAACTCGGACACAAATGAGAAGAGTTACTTACTAGCGTCAGCATCACTGCTAAAGTTGCCAGTCCATGTGACGAATGTCTGTCCCTCGTGCTTGCCTGAAGTGACAGGGTATGCGCGGATCGTGGAGACGACGGAAGAGTAGGAGAGCTCGGGCTTGGAGGTGATGACAGAGTAAGTGATGTAGTGGTCGATGGACTAGAAGTACCGTAAGCTACTGTCATGGGTGCGCATACACGATGGGCGTCCTTACAGAGTGCTCCTCCTGCTTGACCTCAAGCACTGTACCGTCCTTGAACGACCACTTGACGATATCCGTCTCGTCTGAGGTTCCCTTGACGAACTCGCTCTTGTCAAGCTTGGACCAGAACTTGCTGAAGTCCTGGAGCTTGATCAGGTGCCAGACATCGCTGAAAGGTGCCTCGATGACGGCCGACTCGCTGACGGAGGTGGAGGTGGGGATGCTTCCGGACATGGTGGTTTTGGTGGTACAATCAGATCTGTAGTAGTTGATTGAGTGGGCGTGGAGATGAATTGAATGGGACTGGGGTTGATAGCTGTAAGTCGAGACCTCAGAAGTTTAGTTTGGTGGGGCACAAGGGTTGTCGCAAACTATGCCGTCATAGCAAGCGAGGAAGCTGTAGCTACCCCTCCTCCACGCCACCTTCTTTACTACCCCTCATTGCGCTGATACATATCGCATACTATTTCTGTCCGTGTTTCTTAAGTGGAACAACTTTACTCGTTCTTTCTCAACTTCCTTTCTCTCAGAGCTCTTCAGCCTGGTCTTTTCCGGGCAATCGCATCATCTATCGACCTACATATGAAAGAAGCAATATAAGGGACCGGTTGGCTGCAGGTTGAAATGCGTTTGAGACAAAATGTCACGGCATTCACACCGCTTCGACATTATCCAATCATGCCATCGTTCCCCACTCCTGTTACTCGTGCTTGTACAGCTCTTTGTGTTTGCGTCTTCTACGCTCTTCTACCATAGCTATCAATCAGATCTTGACATCGATGATATAATTTTCCACGGGGCCTGTGCTAAGAACCCAGAGCAACTCGTCATGTGAAGTCGTAGTTAGCCAATCATGTCTTTCACTAACACAGTCATGATGACCGCCCTGCGTCCCCCGACAGACAGCATGGCCATGATCGGTACCGGAATCTACGAGAGGTACCGGATATTAACTGACTATATGAGGCCATCCACCTACGACTCACTTTCCTCGTTGCGGAGCTTGGAGGAACTCGAATACCCAGACGGGCCCACAAACTACGCTTCTGGCGCTGATATGTTCGAAATTTACACAGCCTATCTTGTCCATTTCGCCCGAGCTGCTAGCTGGCTCCACGTCGGTGGTGCCACATGCTGTCTTGGTGACGAGGAGCTTTTGTGTGCGCCGGCTACGGAAGAGGAAGAAATGGACATCTGAGAGAGACACATCCGTCTTTGTGGGGAGGAAGAAAGTAATGCGAATGTGGATATGAATGGCATGATGGCGAAGTTGGAGAATGGTGTGCTTAGATTTGGGTTGCGCAAGTCCAAAGATGTCTACTTAGCATGTCCTCAATGCCTCTCACATGCGAGCAACGATTCAAATCTTCCTAGCAAGTCCTGTTGACTGAAAGAACGGATTTGAGCTTAAATATTATCAGGACATTTCTTCCTCAAGTTAGGTCAACCAAGACCATGATCTCAATGAAAAAAAGAGCTTGTAGATACAAAGAAACTGTGGGATGACTGGCACCCGTGCAGTTGTGTAGTATCAGTCTTTGAAAACCTGGCAGGGCCAGGATCAAAGAACGGTTTGAGAACTGTGACAAGGGGAGGCACTCGATGATGCGATCCAGGACAATCCATTGCTATAATCTGGGATGGGACTCCGTGAGAAGTGCGATCCATGAGCAACAGGAAGTCAGGGTTTTTGGAGCACCCCATGAGCCGAAGCTATAATCTGGGGGTGGTCCGCGGGCAACCTGTTGCTATTATTTGGAAAAGGCACGCTCCATGGGTCCGATCCGTGAGCAACAGGCATCCGCTTTGGGAGAGCAACCCATGAGCTGAGAAAGCTACAAGGTGGGGGGGGGGGGGTGCTTCCATGGTCTCGCCGCTATGATCTGGGAAAGGCACGCTCCATGGGTCCGATCCATGAGCGACAAGCCATTTTTGGGGGGAGTGCACCTAGACAAGTGAAGAGTGCGACTGGAGAAAGAAAGGTGGGAAGGTGGGTGGGGAGGGCAGATTATATAGGCGGCAGCAGGCGCTAGTGGGCCGGCTATTCTCTGGCCGCCCAGGTGGCTAAGCAGCAGCGCTGAGGCGCGTGGGCGAAGTGAAGGTGAGTGTAGTCACGTGCTTAGTAAATGCTTGAGAGAGCGAATTAGAAGGCTCGAGTTTGGTAATTGGCAGCAGGTAAGATACCCCGTCAATCATATCGCAAAGAAGAATTGAGAACCCACCAAACGACGTTCGGAAAAAAGGATAGGCTGCATGCTCATTTTGAGATCAGTTCGGGCTGGAAATAGACTCAGTAGTAGTAACCAAACGACGTCTGCCCGAGCGGTGTAACACCGTCCCAGGACGAACATCAAGTACCACCACATCCAAGACAGCATTGAATGCACTGCACACAAGAAAACCATCCATGACAACATCTCTAACATTGCAGCACGTAGGCGCATACTGGCATTCATACATACATACAACCCAATCTCTCCCCCCATCCCCTCGTAATGAAAAACTCAAGCAAATGCCCACTACAACAACAGCTACACCAGACCCAATGCAGATATGCAAAGGATTTTGAACCGAGATACCCATTTCCCATGTATCCAGTTGCACCAGAGAGACAGAGAATACAAAAAACATGTGGAGAACAAGCAAAGCAATCCGTCCCAAGACCGGGGGGGTATCAAGTTGATAAAACAGAACAGGGTGAGAAAAGATGATGATGATGATACTTTTCCAAACGCCTGTCCAGAAGAGAAAGAACGCCCAGGGCTGGTGGTGATGGTGGTAGTAATGGGTACAACAACGATAAATCAGAAAGAAGGAAGGGGCGGAGCGACAAGAAGAAGAGGAAGAAAAGGTTGTAAGACCAAGTTCATCATCATCCGACTCGATCAAACACCACTCCACCCCATGTCGCCACCTTGCTGGCCGCCCTGCTGTCCCATGCGCTGAGCGTTCTGCTGCGCCTGGCGCATCATCATCATCTGCTGCATCTGCTGTTGCGACATTTGGTTCATGCTTACGCCCTGCATACCGGCGTTCATTTGTGCGCCTTGCATGCCGCCCATGCCACCATTCATTTGTCCCATTTGTGCCATGTTCATACCCTGCATGTTGCCCATATTATTCACGTTCATGCCCTGCATACCGCCTTGCATGTTGTTCATTGCGTTCATGTTGCCCATCATGCCTTGAGGGATCTGATTGCCGGCCAAGGCCGCCTGCTGGCGCATCTGCATGAGTCGACTCTGGTTGGCGGCTTGCTGACGTTGCTGTTGCAGTAATTGTTGGTATTGCTGCATGTGCATGGGATTGTTTGGGTTGACATTTTGCATGCCGTTCATCTGGCCGGTGTTCATCTGATTGCCCATGCCGGCGTTTTGCATTTGAGCCATCTGTGCCTGTACCTGTTGCTGTTCGCGCTGTTCCCGTTGCTTGATTTGCATTTCCATCTGTTGCATCTGCTGCATGATGTGCTGAGGAATGTTCTGAGTGCCGTAGTTTTGCATGATAGTGGCCTTTTGCTGCTGGTACCGCGCGCGCATCTGCTGCAAACTCATGTTAGCAAAAGTCATGCCTTGTTGGGGCACGTTTTGCTGCATGCCACCTTGGGGCGACATAGCCATATGTTGCTGTTGTTGCTGTTGTTGCAGTTGACGGAAGTAATGCGCTGCCAGCTGCTGGCGGTACTGCTGGGGGTTCTGGTTCTGGGGCACGCCCTGAGTCTGGATATGTTGGGCGGCCTTTTGAAATGCGAGTTGTTGCATCTGCTGCTGTTGCGGGTTACCAGGGGACGCACTCTGTTGTTGCAATTGCTGCATTCGCACCTGGTACAAGCGCTGCTGGTTGAAATTTGGCATCATCTCTGGAGTCATGTTCTGGCCAGGCTGAGAGGCCTGCTGCATCATCATGGGGGTTTGTCCTTGCATGGCAATGGGTGGGCTGCCCTGGTTCATGCGGCTCGGAGTGGGTGTCATGTTGCGATTCGGCATGGATGCGTTCATAACAGGCGTTCCTTGTACCATGTGCGGTGTACCGGTGCGGCTCGGGTTCTGCTGCTGGCTGACAGAGCGGGCCATCTGGTTCTGATGGTGAGAAACAGCAGAGGGTGGCCGGGCTGGACTGTTGATGGCCTGGCTCGAAGCCGTTGGGACCATCGGGGTGCCTCCCATGGGATGCGAGGCTGGGCCGCCAACTCGTGGTGATGCCGCGGATGCTGCCATTGGCGTCTGTTGGCGTATAGTTGGCGAGAATTGAGACTGTGTCGCGGATTGAGGCGTGCTCGCAACCTGGGTAGCCGTCGCGGTCGACAACTGGTGCTGTGCTGCAGCAGCTGCCCGTAACGCTTCGTTCTGTTGGATTTGATTTTGCTGTAACTGGTTCTGTTGCTGTAGCTGGGCCTGGTGCGCCGCCTGTTGGCGGAGGGCTTGTTGACGCTCGACAAGTTCAGCCTGCTGTCTGGTTTCGAGCTCTCGTTTCCTCTGGAGTTCGGCCTCCATCTGGGCCTGTCGCTTGGCCTGGGCAACGCGGGCGTCTTCTTCCTTCTTCCGTCGCTCGGTTTCCTCATGGTTGGCACGGATATTGGCAATGGTCTTGAATCTAGCAAATGTCTGCGAGTTGGCAGCCGCACGCACAGCGTTATCATCGTTACCTGTAGCAGCAGCCATCATGACAGCCTGGTATTCATCACCCGCCAACATGAAGCGTTGTAGACCCTGGGCTTCAGCCTCGTCGGCAGCCAATTCAGCAGTGGTCCTCTTCCGAGTCTTGCGTGGCGGCGCAGGGTTCTTGTTGATGGGATGTGTGATGGCGTCCATGAGCGCAAGCGAGTGGCCGAAGCTCTTGGTGGGCTCCAGGTACAACGGCGGGCAGGTGGCATTAAGCAGCTCAGCCTCAAACTCGTGCACATTGCTGTCGTCGAGGACCATCTTCTGGCGCTTTGGACTGGGGCCATTGGAGAAGGTAGGCGTCGAGGGTACTGCGGTCATGGGAGTGGGTGGCATACCGGCAGCTCTGCCCTGAGCCTGCATTCTCTTAAGTGCAGCGATGTCGGTGACGGGTGTGGAGGCCAGTAACTGCATGTCGGCCAACTGTGACTGCGGGGTCGGAAACAGAACGACTGTCCTGACCTTACCGGGTCCCGTCTGCTTGTTGGCTGCACCATTCTGGCCAGGCGCTGGCATATTCTCCTTGTCCTCCTTGACCTCGGCCTCCTTGCTCTGGGCACTGGCCTGTGCGGGCTTCGACTCGGGCTTGTTGACAGGATGAGGCGCAAAAGGCGAGGGGGTAATGAAGTTGTTGTAGTTATGAATAGAGAAGGCACTGCTGGCGCCGTCGCCCGTGCTGTTGGATTCATCCTTGGGCTTTACACTGTTGGAGCGGAAGTCGTGCACCTCGACGATGAGGCAGTTGTCGTACCAGGGCGTATTGAACTCGTAGAGATCCTCGACCATGTTGTGAGGCACGACCTTGTCCTTGATAGCCAGGAGAAGCTCGCGCATGGGCCCGGCGTATGCCAGCGTCTCCTGGGAGTCGTTCAGGCGGAAGTGCTTAGGGTGCAGGTACACGCGGAGCGAAGGCGGCTTTCCCTTGTGCTTTGCCAGAATATCCTGTTGGGTGTAGACTGCAGTGCGCGTTAGCTGTGCGATACTCATCTGGGCTACCAATGGCGCCGTACCATATTTCCTGGGCTCCTCTGGCTTCACGCTGTCGTCTTCCATGCTGGGCTGCTTGGTCGTGGCGCGCGCAACGCCAGGACGCTGGGATTCCCGGCGCAATCGGGGAGGCTGCGGCGGGCGAGCAACTGCGACTGGGCCCGACATGATGGTGGTGGTGACGGAGTTGGAGCTTGTGAATATGTCGGTGGGGCGGCGGTGGGACGGGCTTTCCGCCTGGGGAACCAGCGCCGACTGCGGTATGGCTTCCAGTTACCGGAGAAAGGGCAGGCGCAAGAGTGCGCACGATGCCCGCGGGGATTCTAGCAGTGCGCGAGGGAATGCGCGGCTTGAAAAATGGCTGAGTTTGGACTTCCGTGTCTTGACGCGTATGAGATGGGCGACGTGATGTTTGCTGATCCGAGGTGATGCGCCAGTGCCTTGCAACCGCCAAGCCCCGAACCCTGTGTTTCATCCGTTATCACGTGACTGTCCCTCCAATGACACAACCTCCGAAGCGCCTTGAAGCCAAAACGTCGACATCAAACAGACATGACTACAGGGTCAAACCGTGTACGGGACGTCTTCCGCGCAGCACCATTTTTTCATTCATGACGCACTCATCACATGTCATCGCAGTTCAAACGTCACACACAGATGAAGCACAGTTGTCAATCATGCCCACTTCACGTTATGCCCTCCCTTAGCGTTTTTCCCGGGGAACAGAGCACTGGAGAGTACATCAATCGCATCTACCATGTCCGGCCTCTCAAGAACCCGTCACATGTCACCAATGCCGCCGCTCTGCACTCGGCCTTTGGCTTTTTCCCAACAACATCAATCGGGCTAGCTTCCAAATCATGCCACAGTGAACCCACATTTACTCCCAAACAAGAGGCACGGTTGTTTTCAAACGAAATTGTATTTCCAATACCACTAAAAGCTACATAAACCATTCCCAAACAACGTACCTCGCTGCGCGAATGGAACAAATCGTATATCAATAAATGCGCTCCTATGGCGCTCAGCAAGATCTCGTCTACCTCACCATGCGTTATACCACATAGTCCAAACACATCGACAAGAAGCGAAAAGGTTATTATTTATTATAAGGGGCATGTGTCGGCAACCCGTCTATAATCCGTGCGGCCATGTGTCGCGTCGGCTGTCGAGTGCTCCAATTGCGTGATTCATGCCGTGAA